CTGCCCGGGCTGGGAACCTCGTCGCCGCTGGCCGAGACCAAGGCCAGGGAGCCCGAGTGCCGCGACCTGGCGAAGCTGAAGATGCGATTCCAGAGGCCGCTGGACCTGCCCGCCATCGGGAGCCGGATGGACGTGAAGCCCAGCTGGGAGCGCACGGCCAGCCGCAGGTTCTCCAGGACGGAGGCCTAGGGGAGACAGCAGCTCGGCTCAGCTCAGCTCAGTAGCACAGGGGACCCGCTCCGCTCCGGCCCTGCGGCCACTGCCCCGCCCAGCAACCTCCACCTCTCCATCCCCGAATTCCTCTAGGCAACACCCATGACGTCATGCAACAAGCAGAAAAGTCTCAGTCGGCATAGACGGGCTAAAGATGTTATGAATCTAATTCTCTGGCTTGAGGATCACCCCACCCAGAACCTAATCTGTGCCGTGAGTCAACTGCTCACTGTGTCCGGCTTTCCAGTTGCTTCGATTTATATCCAGATTCCATAGTTATACTTAATGATCCTGAACAGTTCCTTTGTCTCAGGGACCTCAGAGAATAACCCAATCCTAGAAGAAATACCTAGGGTAGAAAATACATGTATGTGATGCATCTAGAACTAGGAAGGCCAACAAAGCAGTGTTTCACAAAGTGACAGTGTGAAAACCAGGCCCTTTCAGTTTTTAAACATAGAGCAAGTTATACTTGATTTACAAGGCTGAAACATTCCTAAACATGTATAATTACATTTCAGAGTTGGGTCTCAAGGGTTTGTTGAAGGAATGAATATTAAGGATCTAATTGGACTTCCTAATGGAAATAATTACTGTATTTTTAATATGGCTTAAAAACAATAAAAATTTTAAAAATACATGTTCATAACATTACACGAAAGTATCTAGATATCTGGATTCCTTCTCTTTAAGGGTTAAATTTTATTTTCTATAGTTCAGTGCTAAAAAGTGATTATACCATTATTCTTTGAAAAACTGCTTATTGTGAATTAGTCCATATGGAAAATAACCGAGTTGCCCAAATTTAAAGAAAAATTGTTGTTTTCTAAAGAAGTGCCACAGTATTTAATGGTCCTTGGGCTCCGCCTAGTGGTTATTAAAAGTACTGAAATTTGGAGCCCACCGGACCCCCTTCAAGCCTGCCTGTGCCACTGGACCTCCCTGCGGAGCGCGGCGCTGGCTCCCACCGAGTGTGACTCGGCGCGCCGCCCTCCCTGGGCCACGGGAGGCCAGCCACCCTCGTGGGAACGTTTCAGAGCACGGCCAGGGCAGGGCAGCACACAGGGCTCCTTTACGAGCCGGTCACCGCCACAAGCGCCAAGCGTCTTCAGAGCCTGCATTCCAGGGGCAGCGGCCCTGGGTGCCACTGGGTGCCCTGGGTGTCACCAGCCGCGCCGGAGAAGCGCTCTCCTCGGGGCAGACCACCGAGCGGTCGGCCATCGGAGTCCGCGGGGCAGTCTCATGCCAACCTCCTCAGGAAACACTTCTATTTCAAATAAGACGGTAAATCACAGGTTTTCTTTTTAAAAGCTGCTACAAACATTTGCTGATTTGTTAGGAAAAAATTCAAACTTGAGAGTCAAGTTATTGAATGAAAAAATGTAGCTCCTCACGCAGGACCGATTTCGAGAGCTGCTGAGACAGGTGTGTGCGGGTGGCTCCGTCCTCAGAGCCTCTGTCCTGCCCTGGGCGGATGTGACCGCTAAGCCTCCGGGGTGTCGCCCGGCTCCGGGTCTGCCCGGGGGCCCTGCGTAGGCCAGAGAGCCGCCCTGGACGCGGGCGCTGGCTCTGAACGCGTCATGGTGAGAGGGCTGGGGCTCCCCAGAGGGCATCAGTCTCTGGCCCGGCTGGACAGTGAGGTCACCGCGCGGTTACCATGACAACGTGAGGGACAAGGAGCGCAGCTCGCGCCCTGGTCAGCAACCTCCCCGCACGCTGGTGTCAACACAGCGACTCTCTCCGGGCTGGCCCGCAGCTGTCCCTTTCCCAGACCGCCGAGGGCAACTGCGGTGCAGGCAGCCGCTGGGCGGCCTGGATGCCCGCGGTGTCCGGGCTTGTGTGGGGTGCAGACGATGGACTGGGTGAAAAGCCGCGGTCTGCATCATCCCTGCCTACAAAGGACACTTCCCTCAGAGCAATGCCAACGACAAAAGAAGGCATGCATAGGTTGTTTTTCTATTTTGCATGAGGAATTTCAAAGAATGGAAATTCTGAACTACAAATAACATCTGGAGAAATGTTTGAAAACTACAATTTCTCACCAAAGATTTCCCAAGACTCCAATGAGGCGACACAGTGTAATCAGAAATCTCATTTACTAAAAGTGAAACGTATTCCATTTGGAACAATTAAGTCACTGAGAAAACAATATTTGCCAATTTTCCTTAACTCTTAATACTGAAGTAAATTTGTATGTGTTCCTGAGTAAATTTGCAATTGCTTATAAATCCTTATATCTTAAATGAACCTTGGCCCGTTTTTAAGCCTTGAAAAATAAATTTTTAAAAACCCAGTAAGAAGTTTAAAGAGTTCTGAAACATTAATAAAGAACGAGTTACGATACAAAGAAAATGGATTTAGTTTTTAGTGCAAAATCCAACCTAAAGAAGTTTTCCCTGAGTGAGGTAGAAAGGTTAACTTCATTTCCATTACTTTCCTTTATGACTGGTTAATCATGTAGTATTTTACCAATATATTAATGTCATTATTTATTATTAAATCTCTAAATGTTCAGTCCAAGTAGTTTGCCAAAGTGAATTTTGAATCTAAATGCACTAAATTACCCTAGACAGTAAAATGTTCAAGTATCACATAATCAAATCAGAAGAGTAAAAATTGTGTTTTTGTAGTACTTGTTAAAATGTAATAATAAAAATATATAACTTCAAATTCTCCATATATTTTATCCCTGATTTGATTGCAGAAATACTGACCATCAAGAGTCTTTGTTTTACTGGTATAATTTTACTGGTATAGATCTATAGAGGTATCATTTCATTTTTAAAATTTGTACTGAAATATAAATCAAAGTTACAATATCTATCAAAAGACTCCTAGAATTAGCCAAATTCTAGTAATACAGCAGTATACAAAATCAACACACAAAAATCAATATTGTTCTTGTACACTAATAATGAAGTGACTAAGAAAGACATTAGGAAACAATAGCATTTACTATAGTTCCAAGAAAATGAAATGCTTAGGAATCAACTGAACCAAGAAGTAAAAGACTTCTACAATGAAAAGTACAGTAGTCTGTGAAAGATCAAAGAGGTCATCAGAAAATAAAAAGATGTCCCCTGTTCCTGGATAGGCAGGAGCAAAACTGTCAAAATGGCCTTACTTCCAAAACTGATATACAGATTTAATGCAATTCCAATCAAAATACCTACAAGCACTGCTCATAGAACTAGAGAAAACAACCCTAAAATTCATGTGGAACCAGAAGTCTCAGAATAGCTAAAGCAATCCTTGTAACAAGGTCAAAGTAGGAGGCATCACAATCTGGGACTTCAAGCTATATTACAAAACCACAGTGACAGAACCAGCACAGTGCTGGGCGTGGCGACATACCATTTGTAATCCCAGCACCTGGGAGGCTGAGGCCAGAGGATGCCGCGAGACAGTTCAAGGCCAGCCCGAACTACACAGCAAGACTTTGTCTCAAAAACAAAACAAACAGCAGAAAAACAGCATGGTTCTGTCACGACAGTCACGTGGATCAGTGAGTGGAACAGAGCAGCAGGTGCAGAAACAGCCCAGGTCGCAGCTGGCCATCAGTTCTCTGGTGAAGGGGCCAAACACATGCTGTGGAGAGGCAGCCTCTTTAACAAATGGTGCCGGAAAACCAGCTGCCACACCCACAGGGTGAGTGTCTAGACCCGTATCTCTCACCATGCACTAAACTAAAATCAAAATGGATCAAAGACTGAAATATTAAAACAGAAACAATCTGCTGGAAGGCAAAATAGGCACCTGCTCTTGAAGACACAAGCACAGTAGACAAGTACTTTCTGAACAGAATCCTAACTGCACAAGAAATAATATCAAGAATCAATAAATGGGCTCCTATCAATTAAAAGGCTTTTTTTGTACAGCAAAAGAAACAACAAGGAGGAGATAACTTACAGAACAAGAAAAAAGTTTGCTAGCTATTCCTCAGAGGACTAATGTTAGACTATATAAAGAGCTAAAATAAATTAGACCCCTTCCAAAATAAAAGACCCAATCAAAAGATGGGGAACTAAAGTTAACAGACACTTCTCAGAAAAAGAGTACAAATGGCCAATAAATACATGAAAAAAGTGTTGAACAGCTCTGGCCATTAGAGAAATACAAATTAAAACAACACTGAGATTCCATCTTATTTCAAAAAATATGGCCATCATCAAGAAATCAAATAACCAATGGTGGTGAGGCTATAGGAAAAAAGGAGCCCTTCTACACTGTTGGTAGAAATGTAAACTAGCGCAACTACTATGGAAACCAGTATTTCTTGGAATGTCTTGAAAATAAAATTCCAGTCAACTCAGCTATTCCTCAAAAAAGAGTTAAAGCATCATATTACAGTTGTACACGCACATTCGTGTTTATGGCACAACAAGCTAAATACTAATAGCTAAACACTGGAAGCAGTCTGTATATCCATTAGCAGATGGATGGATAAAAAGTGTTATTTATACCCAGGGGAGTCCTACTCTGCCACAGAGAAGGATAAACTTGGGTCATTTCTAGGAACATGGATGCACCTGGTGACCACAATGTCAAGAGAAGTAGAGTAGACACAAAGCTTAAATATTGCGTGATTTCTCTTATATGAGAAACTCAAAATATAGAGTAAAATAAAAGACAGATTAGAGGAAATAGGGGGCTAGATCTTGGCAAATGAGAAGGGGACCAAGAGGAAGGGTTTATGGGGGAGGAGGGGAAGGAGATGAAAAAAGAATGAAGACGTGTTATGTGCGTGACCCAACTCCCATGATGAATGTGACCTTTAGGTACCACAACATGTACTAAGAAAAGAGAATAAAGAAAAAACAGAAAAGAAATTGCAATATACCTGACTGGGCGAACAAACCGGAAAATCTTCCACTGGTGGAATCAAGCCCTGAGCAATCAACTGTCCGTAAGAGGGAGGAGCTTCTCTTCTCAACAATTCTGCTTCGACTCTGGACAGCTGGGTCTCAAATGATCTTCGAGAACAGATGGAGATAAAAAGCGTTTCAACACAGTCCAGTCGAAAGAGGAATTTTCTGTTTTCAGTAACTACAACAACTGACTCCCGGCACATTGTGAAAGCTCTGTCTAATGTCTGTCCTGTCTACATGCTGAGGACACGAGGATCAAGCAGACCCTCTGTCCAAGGGAGCTTTATACTAGCAACAGTAGGGATGACGGTTCTAATGGGCTGGAGGCTCTATAAAAGGCACAAGGACAAAGGGAAGACTGCGCTGTGTTCTGGGCTCCCAGGGACAGTGTGACTCGTCTCACAGGACATTTAATTCAGCAGGTTCAACACGGTTCCTTCCAGGTAAGGGTGAAAGGATCACTAGCATCCTCTTCTGGAAGAGCCTCATCGTGAACTGAAGACCCTGACCCTTCACCGTGCTCTTCTGGGGTGAGGTGGGAGTTTTCTGGCCCTGCGTACTTCGGGGGAGAGAAGGTGCAGCGATGGCTCGGAGGACACCGCACCTCTGACGTAACCCTGTTTGTCACTATCTGCTGCTGCAGCTCTCCGGGGTCTGAAGGTCCTCGTCTCCACGGCAGCCCGCGAGGACCTCTCTGCCGCTTCCTCCAGGTGCGCTCCATCCTGCCCCACACTGAAAACTGCCTCCCTGGAGGTCCCCTCTGAGCACTCAGCCACTTCCTCCGGAACGGGGAGCTCAGGAGTGTGGCTCTCACTGGATGCGACACCACGGCAGGAGCCCTGCGCCATCCCCCGCGCCTCTCCGACCGCGGCCGCCTGGGTCCAGACACACTGACTGCGCACTCCCTTCCGGAGCAGTGCTCCACGTTCCCACTCTGCGGAGCCGCCCAGGCTTTCTAAACCCCAAGTGCCTTTTCGCTAGCTGCGTTCTGCTCACACACTCCAAGGTGCCCTCTCCAGGGAAAGCCTCCCACCCCATCAGGTGAGGTGCTTCTGACTGACTTCTACAGCGCTTTGCTTTACAGCTCTTATTTTCGTCATCTTATTCTATACCATTTCCTTCCTCCTAACTATAAAGTGCTTGTGAGATGATGCCTTATTCATTTTTATATTCGTTTGTAGAGTGCTTAGAATATAGCAGGCTCTCAAATATATTAAATTACTGAATATTTATAAAACACAGGTTAAAAATCACAACTGAAAGCTGCAACTTACTACTATTATAAATCCTAAATAATATTTCTATATTCTAAACTAATATAAAACAAACACAATGCGAGTCCCACCGAAGCGCTCGTCGCTCACACACGAGGCCTTGTCCGTGGCCCGTACTGACCTCCGTTCAAACATCCGCAGCGAGTACAGCTTGCAGGTGCACCCCAGGGCGATGACCAGCAGCAGGCCACAGATGAGGCTCCCGATGACGGCCGCGGTGATGACTCTGGTGGGCACGATCACCGGGCAGCTCTCCTCGTCGCTGCCATCGCCGCAGTCATCCTGAGAGTCGCACACCCAGCTCTCAAACACGCAGCGACAGCGCTGCTGCTCAGTGTAGCAGCCCCAGTTACCCCCACAGGGTATTTCCCAGGGCAGACAGAAGCCATCTACTTGGTAAGTGGCATTGAATCCCCTGGCCGCATTTACTTTATCTGCACAAAAATGTACCCTTATTTGTCCAGAGGAAGACACAACTGTGAGAGGTGCGTGAGAATCAAAAGCAGTCAGCACACGCAAAAGCCTGCGTGGATTCTCCTCTAACCCATCGTATATCTTGACATAGTCACCGTAGCCAGTACCATCGAGTTTGAAGTCAGTGAAGCGGATAATGACTTTACGACGGTCACCAGTGTCTATGAGCCAGGTACAGTTGCTTCCGGGAGGGTAGAAGTCCGGATAGTTGGGAGAATTAAAAGTACCATAGAAATATTTTAACCACTGCCCACAGGTTGGCACATCACAGTCTATCTCGTCTCCGAGGTCCAGGCAGTCAATGTTCCCATCGCATTTTAAGGACTCGGGGAGACAGGTGTAGACTTTGGTGAAACGGGACAGACACTGGAACTGGTTATAAGCACAGGGCTGAAAGGAGGCAGCTGTTGGAGGGCTCGCCTCCCTGGCACAGAGCTCCTCATCAGAACTGTCTCCGCACTCGTCCATGTTATTACACTGCCAGGCCTCCGGGATGCACTTCCCGTTACCACAGTGAAACTGATCACAAGCACAGTCCGGCTCCTCCGATTTCCCTGGGAGGGAGGGTGTGGGTGGAAGAGGTGGAGACAGAGAGGAAAAACATGCTTCAAAAAATATCTAGGTGTTTTTATGATACATTTTGATTGAGCCCAAGTGTTGACGGTTTTTAAAAATCTTGTTAAAAAAGGTTACGTTCTAATGACAAATTAGAACTTGCATTAGTCAACAGTTTATTAAATGCCTATTATTTTTTCCACGAGTTCTTTTATCTTGCACTGAAGATGGGAAGGGTTAATTCTATTTTTGTAAAGAGCTACTGTGTTGAAGAACTTAGCAAAATGATGTGAGATTTATGAACCAATGGGATATACTAACTAATAACACTAACACTGTATCAACATTATTAAAACCATGGTAGACATTTTTACATGAAACACTTCATCCAAATCACCTTTCTAAGTGTTTTGATATTCTTCTCTATTCTTGTCTTTATATATACACGTACAGTAATTTGCAAACTCCTATTTAAACTGTTATAGTGTTTCATGTAATCATATAGTACTTGCATTTCACAATTTCTATTCTGTAACACAACTGCAAAACAGTGCATACATCTAAGGTGAAGATATAAATGTATTCATCAAATGAACAAATGAAAGAAAAAAACTGACGTGCCTACAGAATTCTAATGATCTCGGTATACCATCCTGAATAATGAGGTGGGGAAAGACAACCCAATAACAGATTTCTAGAGAATCCAAATCAACAACGTTGGGCCAAGTCTTACTTTTCCAATAACAATGTATTTATCAGTAAAATTGAAAATGTGAGTCAGAAGCAAAGTATTACAGACTGTGCTAAGAAAACAGGCAAAAAGCAGATATTTGGTACAGAAGACTAATTTCAGATGATTTAAAATACTTTTCAGCAAAAAAATATACAAAACTAAAGCTTTGAATTTTTGCATTGATGTGATCTGGCTACTCTTCTCAAACACAGTTTAAAAAAGGAAAAAAAAAAGACATCTTCTGAGACTATAAACAGGTCATTTCTTTTTTTTTTTGAAGGTATAAAACAATAATTCATACCAAAAAATACATTCTGGTAACTCTCACAGCATGGATAAACACTTGAGGAAGAAGGGGCTGCTTTTATGTGAGCCCTGGTCTTCCTCTGCGGCACTTGTGTCCAGTTAGGTTACAGGCACAGCTTGGCGACACAGCTCTGTGGCACCTGTCTTGAACTTTTCAACCTTAGCACAGTCACCTCAGGGCTCCGCACCGCCAGTGGACACTGTGCAGAGAACCAGCCCCGAAGTGAACGAACAGTTAGCAAGGAGGGTTTGCTTCTAATGAGCTCTTCTTTTGAAACACACACCTGAAAAATAGGCCAGTCTGAAGCCTTTTCTCGAGACGCTGTCATCTGAGTGGAACCTGATCCAGAGGTGGTCTTGGGACGAGATGTATGGAGGTGGGACTGTGGAGCCGCAAGCTCTGTAACTTTCAATGTTCTTGTATGTTTCTATTGTCAACCAGTCCAAACTGCATCTTCTGGAGCCCTGAATATCAAAATCCTGAAAACTAAAAGAAGAAAAGTCAGAAAAATTCCCTAATAATTAACACACTGGACCTAAGGACATTATTATAAACTTCCAAACATGTTCTTCTAGGTATATGACCACACTATCAGAAGGTAACGTTATGACCACCGTGTCCCTAACATCTTCTCTCCAGATTCCAGAGTAGCTCTTTATAAGAAATACCAGGCTCCAAAGCTGCTAAAAAACAGGTCATGGTGCCACTTTTTCTTTTTCTTAAGAAAATCCTCTTCTAATTCAGCACTCCCTAACCTGTTCTGTTTGAAGCAGAAAGGCCATCCTGTAACCTGATGAAGGGAAGCATACAGAGAAAGTCATCATTTTCTTAGGATTACACTGGTTCACTAGCTTGTGTAATGAAACGTTTGTACAGCAACTACATTTTCTGGAGAGCAAACAGCATAAAACAACAACAAAAACCCAATTGAAATAAGAAAATAAAAAATATTTTGGTGTAAAATCCCTGTTTGGGAAAACTTTTTTACATTGAATATTTTATAATCAAACATGACTTTGTAGTTCATAAAATATGGTCATAGTAAAGGGCAAAAAAGTCAAATATAAAAACACATACAAAACTATCCATTGCTTATGAAAATAAGAGAAACCAAAAGGTCTTTTTCCAACATCTGAATGTCTAAGAAGTGAAGATTTGACTTCATCTTCAAATAAGTGACAATGAAGTTAAATATCCAAGGATTACAGCGGGATATTTGCTTTTTAAATATCCTGAATAACTCTAAAAAAGGCTGATAATTTGCTTTTGCTGCTTTAAGAATCAATATATGTATATGCCTCCCCCACCCTCTCTCTTTGGTACCTGGGATCAAACTCAGCACCTTGCCCCTGCAAGGCAGGCACAGTGATCCTGAGCTAAATCCCCAGCCCTATGCATCTCTCCCATGCACACGAGCAAGTATTTTTCTAGGCCACTTTTCTAGAAGTAGTATTCCCAGGTCAAAAGACATGATCCCTCTTTAAATTTGACAGGCACGGACAGGAAATGTTTATACTAATTCACAACTCCATCAAGTGTGTATAAAACTACCATGTACTCCATACCTCTGGCAAAATGGAATTTTTAGTTTTAAAAGTTATGTGAACAAAATATTATTATTCTGTTTTGTATTTTCTAATTTACTAAGACCGAAATGCTTTCCCCTAGATTTAGTGGCGATGTGAATTCTCTTCCTCTGCATCGCCTTGTTATACCCCTCATGCCTTACACTTTTCCTGATGTAAGGACTCTGCATGCATCAAACAGGTAACACGTGTCCGGCTGTTAAAACAACACACCGGTACACCCCTTCTCCCTCATGTTCCCGCAAACAGCTTCTCAGCTTGGCCGTTACTGGTGGCATCCTGGCATGGTCCTCTGTGCGCTTTCCTGTGCAGAGCTTTTCGTGGCCCCAGTGGCCATTCTATCTCTGAGTGACTGTTATCTTTTGCCCATTAAAGAAAGTAGTTTGCTATCTTGAGGTACAAAAATTATTCTTAATCTAGATTCAACGCTTGTTAGGTACGTGTATTGCTAATACATTTTTTCTAGTCTGTGGTTTGTCTTTTCATTTTCTTAATGGAATCTTTTAATCGGCAGAAGTTTTAAATTTTGGTTTTGCTAAAATCTAACATATTATCTTTTCTTTTATGTTTAGTGTTTAGGTGTCTTAAGATCCCAAAAGTGTTCACATTTTTTCTTACTTTTAGCTTTTACTGTAAACCTAGGATTTATTTTGAATTGATTTTTGTGTGTTCAAGTAGGGCCTGAGATTCTTTTTCTTCCTCCTCCATGTCTTTAGAACGTAGAAGATACAGTACTCACTTTTGTTCTATCCCACAGTATCACTGTCGGATCACCTAAATCTAACATTTGTTTTACAATGAGTTAGTTCGTTCTTTCCTCTTAAGTCTTGGGTATACTCTTAGTTTTAGAACATTGTCTTTACTTGAAAAGTCCAACACTTGCAGGTTTCAATAAAAACTCTAAGGTATTTATGAAGCATCTGTAAGTCAGTGAGTTTCAAACTCCAAACAGTTTCACTTGGGATGGACTAACAGGATTCAAATTCCAAATCGGCCCTGTCGTGGTTCAGTGGATTCGTCCACTGATGAGCTGATATCTGAATGTGACGTTGGGAGGTGGAGCCTGGATGGAGGAGGTGGTCACTTGGGCGTGGCCTGGAAGTGTCCATCTCCCTCCTGCCTCCTTTCTCTCTCTGCCGCCTGTCCTCCATGCTGTGAGCAGCCATCCTGTCTTGGAACCAGCCGATAACGGACTGAAATCTCTCTAAGCTATGAAACAAACACATAAATCTTTTCTCCTTTAAGTTGTGGGGGGGTCTGGTATTTTGTCCCAGCAGTGAGAAAGTGATTATTATTATTATTATTATTTATTTATTTATTTATTTAGTTTTTTGGTACCGGGGATCGAACTCGGGTCCTTGTGCTTGCGAGGCAGACGCCAGAACCACCGAGCTAAATTAAACCCCCGGCCCTAATGAGAAAGTGATTTAGAACAGATTTTGGTACTGGAAATGGGGTCACTGCTATGACATTACCTGACCATGTGGTTCAGAAGCCTTTGGAACTACTTGAGGGAGGAGTTTGGATAGGTTTAGAGATAGAGGATGGAGAAGCAGCCCTAGAATACTATAAAACAAGCTTGATGGGAGATTCTGGTCAGAGTTCAGAAGGTCAGAATGTTGATAAAATACATCTGGCAAAGACCAGGTTCAGGAGGTTTCTGTTGGGAAGAAGGACTATAGGCTATTTGTGTTATGATCTGGTAGAAAATATGTCTACATTTTGCTCATGTCCTGAGGCTTTGTGGGAGACTGAGATTAAACACAGTGACTAGTTAATCTGGGAGGAAATTTCAAAGCAGTGCAACATTTAGGCTGTAGCATGGTTTTTGCTTGTGTTTTTAGCCAAATATACTGTGAGAAACAGAAGCAAAAAGCCCATTTTAAAAGTTTTCAGTTTTGCTAGAAAGAAATTAAAAATCTGGAGTAGAGATCTTGGTTGCTGAAAAAATTAGTATTAAAAAGAAGTTAAGGGGCCGGGGTATTTTAGCTCAGTGGTTCTGCCACCTGCCTCACAAGCAAAAGGACCTGAGTTCAATCCCTAGAACAGGGGGAAAAAAAAAAAGTTAAAAAGAAGCTAAATACTTTACATTGGGATGATGCCCTGAATTTTGATCATTCCATTTTTTTTTCAGACTGGTAAGAATCTTTAGGGAGGTGGTAGAAGATAAACCTGTCTCATTTGGTGTGGTTTGTTTGTTTGTTTATTTATTTTGAGACAGGGTCTCACTATGTAGTTGAGACTGACCTGGAACTCACTATGTATCCCAGGCTGGTCTCAAACTCACAGTGATCCTCCTGCCTTATCCTCCCAAGTGCTGGGATTACAGGTGTGCACCACCACACCTGGCCCAAGGTATGGTTTATTTTTCAAGCATGAACTCTTCTTGCTTCTGCCAGCATTTAGGCACTCTTCAAGTGCATTCTCACAGTTGTTTTTACATATTTCATCCAGATCTAGTAACTGTTGTTCAGGGAAAGGCTGGTCTAATTCAAGGTAGAGAATGCCTTAAATAATTTTAGTCCACTAAAATGTCTAATTGAGATGCATAAAGGCAGGAACATGGCCCAGAACAAGAAAGAATTAAAAATATGAGTTCATATATACTCAATAGGATCTGGTTTGCCAATATGTCATTTAGGATTTTTAAATAAATTTATAAGTGGAATTAGTTTTCAAATTTTAAAAAATTCTTTATGACAGCTTACATAATAAAGCGCTGCTGACATACTATTCCCTGTAAGACTGTGGAATACAGATCCAGGGTGGAGATTTTAAATTTCTTTCTTTTCTTTTCTTTTTTTTTTTTTTTTTTTTTGTTTAATTGCCTTTTCTTCAATTTCTGTAAGTTTTGACCATTTAAATTTTCTCAGAAGTTATTCATTCTATCTTGAGAATAAAATCCATTACTACAAAACTGTACACGGTACTTTTGTATGAGTCAGACTTTTTATGTCTGTACTCTTTAAATTTGCTCAGCTTTTCTATGGAAACAAATTTATTACTGGCAAATAAGGAGAATTTTGTTTCTTGCATCCCATATTCTTCCACTGATTTCCACCTGCTGTACTGTGTCCCTGACAGGGCTTCTAGAAAAAGCAGTGAAGGAGCTTGTCTGGTCCTAGGTGCTACAGGACATGGGTTTGCTTCCTACAGCTTTCTAGCAGACAATCTTTATTAAGAAGGTCCTTATCTATTCATAGGTCAAAACTGCCTAAAAATACTGAAGTCTGGAGATTTTCTTTTAGATATCGACAGTTTCTTAAATGGCTATTGATTTCATCAGTTTAAAATTCTTCTTGAAATAAATTTGGTAATATAAATACATTTCCTAGAGAATGACCCCATTTCATCTGACTGTGTAACAGTGTTAACATTAACCTACTTATAATATTCTTTTATGACTTAAAATTTCCATTACATTTATAGACATTCTGTTATTATTTTTATTATTTTATTTTTATTTGTATCTTTTTTCTTCATTTTTGCCTTAAGCTTTCTTGTTTTATTGGCATTCCAGAAAGTCTTACTGTTTTTCTGATCTTTCTTTTCTACCTTAAAATTTACCTTACAATTTTTTTCCTAAAACATTAAGATAAATCTTGAGCTTATTTTTCATCTTACTCATATTTAAATCCACACATTAAACCTATAAACTTTTCTCTAAGTACTCTTCTAATATTTGTAATATGTAACAAACACTATCAATTACAATTACTTAAAAAATATGTAGTCCTACTATGATTTCCTCTTTAATTCAGGAGTTAAAGAATGTTTCCAAACATATGTTTAATATTTTTTCCCTTTAATTTTACTCTACCAAGAAAATAAAAATCTGAAAGATTTACATGAAAACAAAATTTGGATGAAAAGTCTTTGAAGTGTACTAAATATCTTTTTGTGATTCAACAAAATTATTTTTAAAAATATGTGGTCTATTTTGGAGAATGAGCCATGTGCAGCTGAAAAGAATGTGTATTATTATGATTTTTATGGGATGGAAAACTCTGTAAACATCTGTTAAGTCCATCTGCTCAAGAGTTTCAGTTCTATTCTATGTTGTTGTTTATTTTTTGTCTAGTTGCTTTATCTAATTTTGACAGTGCAGTATTGAGGTCCCACAGAACTACTGGATTAGTGCTTATTTGATTTTTCATGTCTGTTAATATTTGTTTTATATAGTTGGGTGCACTAGTATTTGGTGCATATATATTTATGATCATCACCTCTTCCTCTTGGATTGTTCCCTCTACAAGGATGTAGTGGCCTTCTTTGTCTCTCTTAATTAGTGTTGGTTGAAATCCGTTTGATCTACAAATAGGATGGCTATTCCTGCTTTTTTGGGGGTTCCTATTTCATGGAGTATTGTTTTCCACCCTTTAACTTTCAGTCTATGAGTTTCTTTTTGAATTAAGTATGTTTCCTCTATGTAACATATTGTTGGATCTTGCTTCTTGACCCCATCTGCCAATCTTTGATTGATGAATCGAGAGCATCAACATTGAGGGTTATAACTGATATGTACTGACTTATCGTTGTCATGACTTTTTCTTTTTGTTGGATTCTCCCCCTTTGCATTTAATTTTTTGTTGTGCCTCATAGATTCATTCTGCTGGGTTTCCTGGGGTTGTGATCCTCATTGTCTTTTCCTAGGATATTGTTTAAAATTTTTTGGAGTGCTGGTTTATATGTGAAAGCTTTTATCTGTTGAAATAGGTATAAAAGTAGGTTTAAAATCTAATCACTGTGGATTAGTCAAATTTAGTAGACAATTCTCCATATTCTGTTTCATACGTATTTTAGGCTATGGTTTTAGGAACCCACAGTTTACTATTCATTTCTTCCTGGCAGATTTTCCCATTTGTTATTCATATTTGAGCCTTAGGCTCTGTTATAGCTGATGCCACTCTCCGTTTACTAAGCTTGCTCTTGATCAGGATCTCTAAAGCCAATCTTTTCTCTGTCCCCTTCTTAGACTTTCTGTATTAGTTTCATTTCCTAGAAACTCTTTATATAGCAAGATTATATAAATCATTCAACCAATAAATCTAATTAGATCATCTGTCTTTTGAAGGTTTAATACATTTGTGTGCTTAACTAAAGCCTTTCTGAGTTCTCATTTTCCTCCTTTATGTTTTTTACATAAATACAATTTTTTTCAAAGTTCCCTTTCTTCTACTCAATACTTAATGTTCCTCCTTTTAGAAAAGTAGTTATCTTCAGGTATTATAACTCAAATACTAACAGACACTTTTTTCCCTAACCAAGGCAAAAAGTATACAGTGTTTCTTTACTCCTTCCAAATTCTCAAAATGGGAAGAGATAATTTATAACTTTTTTCATTAACCTTAGCATTTCCTTTACTTGTAACAATAAACCATGATAGTATTTATAGTACCCGTCATTATGTCACTATCTGAAAACAGATACTTTCACATTACATTTCAGCTTTCAATGATACGTAAAAATATTTTACACTCAAGATTACTTTGAAATTATGGTAGTTACTAGGACTATCATTAGTTATTATTAGTATTAATGAGCATATGTTAACATATTTTAAGATATCTGATAGCTGTATTTTAATTATGCTTTGCAATTCTGTCTTATGAATTTAAAAAGCTGTATTGTGGGAAAGGACCCATATATTCACTAGACTACCAAATACCCATAATAGGCACAAAAAAGGTTAAGAGTGAACCTGCTGAGAATAAATCTTCTTCCTTAGTCTTAAATTTTCTCAAACATTCCAGGATTCTGGAGGGAGGCTTATTTTGAGATTTTTAGTTCTCTCTCTTTTCCCCTTTATGTCCCCCACCTGGGTATCCATTCTAGAACTAGTTTTTAAATGCTGGTTCAGAGTAGTAACAACCCTGCCAGGGGGTAGCAGGTGGAAAAGTCCCTTGCACTTGCTAGGATCTGCCTTCTTACCTTGAAGCCCTCCACCCCAAGCAGTTCAAGCTGTGGTTAGTAGATGCTGCTCTCAGCTTTCTTGAGTACAATAGCGTTATCCCAGTCCTTGGCTTTGAACAGCATTCTAGGATGCAAGTCTCTCCCTCCCAAGGATAAGCTAGTCTTTGTTAATGTGGGTGCGTTTCAAGGGAGAAAGAGTAAAAATGCCTTTATGTCACCTTTTCAGCCTGTTTTATACAGAGAGCTCTCAGTTTGTTTATACCCTGTAATTGTTTTCTTCTGTCCAGATTTTTAAAAACCATGTTTCAATTCCATTTTACTAGGAATTTTTTTTTTAATTTAGGAATGAGCGCTGATTTTCTTTTAAATCAAAATGCTTTAAAGCATCTATCTATCCTAATCATATACTTTTGACTTGTTGATAAGGTAAATTAACTAAAAATTCTCTAACACTACCTAAGTTGCATGTCTGAATGAAATGCACTTGATTATGGCATAAGATTCTTTTGAATTATTTATTTAAGATTTTACAAGAACAATCACAGGCAAAATCCCTGTCTTTAGGTATATGTCATTTTGAAGCTTTGGTATTCCTATAACAAAAACTTTGTTATTAAAATCACTTCCTCATCTGTGTAAATCCAAATGCATAAACTTCAAGAATTAAGAAAATTTCATCTTACATGCGTGTTTCACCTCTAATTTTGTTCCACATTTTTAGTGTATCTTACTTTTGAAATTTCAAGGGTCCAACACATGATCAAAACAAGAAGATAAGATTCTTGTAATTCTTCCAGGCTCCAAATTTTATATAAGCGAGCTGGTGAACTACAAGTTTAACTTGTAGGTTAAAAGATTAAAATCTCTATAAATTCTAGTTTAATATTAAACATCGAATATTTTGGAAAATGTTATTTTGTAAACACATAAGAAGCTCCAGGCTTCCAGAAAAAGTCACCTGGGACAGAGAAGCCTAAAAGGAAAACAAATCATATGGTACTTGTTGCCAGCATCCAAGTAAAAAGAATATGCAAGGCAGTTTCTCCCAAGGCAGGCAGCTTTGCTTTTCAGGTAAAGAATACAAAAGGGAAAATGGAAAATATGGGAAAGCAGGCCGTGTTTATAATATTTTAAAAAATATAAAACAAATGATTTGAGGCTATGATCCACAAAGTCTCTTCTAGTCTAAAATTCCATGACTCTCACCCATGAAAACGTGGCACCGGAGAGGACGTCAATGGTGTGTGTATTCATGCAGTCGCAGAGCGCTGTCTCTGTGATGGGAACACCTTCTTATTTGTGTTGCAGTTCCAAATACAGTTCTTTTGTTCAGGCTCACTTTCTCTCTCAAAAAGATATTTTTTCTAATATCCTTGATAAAATTTCCTTAAGCAATATCTAGTCTACTAAACAGTCTCTGCACAGTATCTTATTCCTGGTTTTTCTCTGCATTAACTACTTTTTAAAAAGAATTAATCTTGACCTTTTATATCATATTTGTTGATAGAGTCTTAAATGTATGGTTATTTTGCAGACATGCATCTACAATCACGTTTTAGCACCTTCAGGAAAAGGACTCCGCTCAGGTTAGGGGCTAGATCTCCAAGTGGATTAGCAAACTTTGTTCCATTGCCTAAGTTTACTCTTGATCCTAGTGACTTATGCAGCAAATTTGTATTTTTTGTTAAACGGTAGCTTAGAAGAATACAGGTGACTCACCTTAAATATATTACCACCATTAGAAAGTATTCGAAACACGTTACTCTTATATGATACTGACAGATATAATGTCTATCTTCTAAAAACTCTTTTTATATTACTGTTAGGTAGTGTTACTTGGAAATTTAATCTAATTTACATTTTGTAATAAATATTATAATACAACAAAGGTATCAGAATTACCTTATAGTAATGATTTCCCCTGGGTTTGCCTTTATGAGCCAGCTGCAGTTGAGTCTGACAGGGTATGCAGACGGCCAGCCTGGACTTGTGATCATACCACGTGGTGCTTGGACTTGTTCTGGAGTCTCTCCACAAGCTGGAAAACAGCCAAAGTAATCCTAGGTAGTCATTAGGCTTTAAAACACAGCATTAAGTAAATCAGTATTTATTAAAAAAACAGTTCAAACATAAGATCATATGCAGTAGTAATATGTTGCATTAACAACCTCAGAAAGCTTCTATTAGTTCAATGTGATCTTTTAATTTCTTCCCTTTTAGACAAAGAGCCTTATCCTAATTAAGTACATGTTCTGGGCAGGCAAGGAAGTTTTCAAGTTGTATTATTCAAGAGTCAGTATTACTAGTTAGCCAAGGAATCTGACTAATCCAGCTATCCTTTCTCAAGCCCACCTTTTAAGTTTATATTTCTTCATTATAAATTACCTAAAGTTCAGTATTTACTGAATTACTGTGTTGGCAGTCTTATGACTCTCATCTTGCTTTTAAAACACTTTAAATAAACATAATTTTTACTAGGGTGTTAGTAGATGACTAGATAAAGACAGAAAAACATTCAAAATTACTGCAAAGTATAGTAATTCTTCCATTTATGCCATTAATACATCCAAACTTCATCATAGGGGGCTGGGGATTTAGCTCAGTGGTTCTGTCACTTGCCTTGCAAGCACAAGGTCCTGAGTTCTACCACTGGTAAAAAAAAAAAATTAACCAAACTTTATTACAGAGTCATGAATGCTTCCTAATTTACTGAAAAACAAACTCCCGAAATGCAATAGTGTTCAAAAATATCACTATATGATTAGATATCTGATTATCATGGAAGAAAATTTTCATGCATGTGGAATAAGTTGAAACTAATACCAATACCTTCCTGGAACATTCTCCCTGAATTATCTTGAATCTCACTGCAATATTGTTAATATTTTATCTATAGAGAATTTAGCAATATCAACTTATTCTCTCAATTAAAAATAAAGTAACTGCACTATGAACAACATGATGAATGCTTAAGCCTTCAAGTAGAATTTAAAATCATAGAACCTCTCTTTAATACAATTTCAACAAATTAGATTACTCAATTTTTAATGTAACAGCAGATTAGAAACTGGGAGAGTAGCTGTCAGGCACACATAAACAGTTAACAAAGGTGCTGAAGAGATCTTTACAATAATAAAAAAAAAACTACATATTGAACTCAAACCCATGGGTGCTCAGAAGAGGTACCTTACTGTCTATCTTCCACTTGGTAAGAGAAGGCTGTCGTAATAATCACCCAATTAACACACAGACCTACCAAGAGCTGTAAGGTAAATGATCAGTGTCAACAAAGTGGCTCATACAAAACATGGCCTGATGCTCATGCTTTAGTACTGATATTAGTTTAGAAATCAAGTAACCCATTTTATAGGGAGTCAAATATGCTTACTATAATTGTAATTTGGAAAAATGTTTTTGTAATAGAAGTATAGTCTGTTTAATTTAATTATTTTAAAATATACTATGTACTTAAAAAAACTCTACCCACAATGACCAAAATAAAGTAATATATACTGCTTGAAGTCAGTCCTTACTTCCTCTACCTAGATCTCATTCTCGGAAGCAAACCTTCAATCCAGGCTTTAAAAGCGCACCTTGCTTCAGACAACTTGCTCGCGCCTAACAGAATATGGAGATTCCCAGCACGGAACACGGACATAATTACAGAGGGCTCTAAGCTCATCTCACTGCCCAAGCAGCCAAACTTTCCATTTTTTGTTGTTGTTTCATTAAATTTCCTTTACAAGGAAAATGTCAATTTTAATGTGTTTTAGACAAAAACTAAATTTCTCTAAATATAATTGTTTTCAAAGCTTAATAAGTTGCCAGTTTTGTTTCCACTTTGCTCCGTGTTATCATCATAATAATTTAATAAAAAAGATACCCTAAGTCATTTGTAAGATCTTTTTCATTATCTCTTAACAATATGTTCTAGGAAGGATTCTTAAATTTATGAAGATATAAATAAACATGCAAAAATAATTACAGTATGGGGAATTGTTGCCCAAAATATGTACAAGTGTTTTCTTTAAAAATGTATCTGCATTAAAGAGCGTAATACAGCTCCGAGTTCATACTGCCATGTAAGCACTCAAATATTTATTAGCTGACTTAACACCTGTGAAATACAGCCAAAAACTAGGTGAGAGTATTCCGTGACAAAGCAGAAAACTGTTAATCTTTACATAAAGGACAGATTAGTTGCAAGGAAAAAATTAGAGCAAACTTTATTAGGTTTTTGCTTTATTAGTTTTCTTTTTAAGAATTTCTCAAATACTATAAGAGAAACCTCTAGGTGGTGCTCTTATTTACCAAAAACTAAGGTTAAATTCTGATAAGATACTAAAAAATGTATGTAAATATTTTATATAAACATTTATATTTTATAAAATATAAATTTATGAAATATTTATAGCATTTTATATAAAATATTTACATGCAGCTGCCCAAGAATGAGACATATCACTATAAATAAGAATGGTTATTTTTAAAGATTCATTGCTTTAAATTTCTAATTCCATAGGTATTTTTAACATCATTTAAAAATATTAATGATTCTTGTTAATAAAAAACAAAACTACAGTATCAAAGTTTCTCCCTGAATTTCTTATGAAATTCATATTTGATTTGATTTTCCACATTTGTAACAGATAAATTCAGCATTCTGCTCTGCAGTTTTAAAAAATTTCTTTGATATATAAAACATAAAAATCATATATAAATGGTACACAATGTAATACTTTGATACACAGGTATAGTACATAATATTTAAATTGGGTTAAATATATTTATTAATCATTCTTTATGGTAACCCAGGAGATTTGCCTTTTTCAATGTTACTAGAGGTTGAACTCATGGAGGGCTGAGCTACACCCCCAACACGTTTTATTTTTTTATTTTGAGATTAGGTCTCACTAAATTGCTCAGTCTTGTGATCCTTCTGCCTCGGCCTATCAAGCAGCTAGAGTTACAGGAGTGAATCATCATACCTGGTGATCCAGTGGCTTTTTAATTAGCACATTTTTTCCAAGTGCAATACAGTGGCTATGTGGTTAACTATACTCCACCACAAACATATTCTTCTCTCTAAGGAAGAATGAATTCAGCTGCCAAAGAGATCACCACATTTCCCCGCCTGTTTGGATAAGAGTTCATCTCCACATGCTGGTGGAATCAGAGTCCTAGATACTGTCTGTTCCATCTGCCACTTACTGGTTTTGCCACACTGCAGACCACTCAAACTTGCTGGACTCTTCACATATTAAGATAAAGATTTGTTACCTGACCAACTCCAAGGTCTAGTTCAGCCTCCAGTCACGTACCTCCCCTATTATCATGATGGATTTCTGGCCTATTTCCAAAAGCTCATCAGGATGCACCAGTATGCTTTTCATTTCCTCCTTTCGCAATTTCTCCTTGACCTACAGAAGCAAGACTTCTAATTCTTCCCTTATCTCCACAGAAACCAGGTAAAGGTCATCAGAGACCTCAGGGTGAAGTCCAGTGGGCCCTTTGTTCTCCAAGGCACTTGACCTGTCTGGAGCACATGGCAGTGACATTCTGTCCTCTGTGACACTGTTTACTGCCCTGGCTTTCCCCCTGCCAGTCTCATGTTGGTTTTCCAATACCAGGCTCCCTTGATTAGCCAGCCTCGGCTCTGGTGGTCTCTCTGAGTCACTTGTGAGCTTTCTCCTCCCTCAAGATGCAAGATCTCATCCTCTCCTGTAATTTCAACTACACTCTGTGGTCACAGGCTTAAAAATCTCTAACCCAATGCCTCTGCATAGTCAAATGTGCAGTGCACACTCTAACCCAAAATTCAGTGTGCTCAAAATAATGTATCTCCAAAATCCTCTTTATTCTCAATCTTTGATGGCTTCAGTATCTTTTGGCTGAGGGAAAAGGCAGTTAAGTAAAAGGAAATTGACTTTAAGAATCCCACAGGCAATCTCAAGGATCTTGAAGAACGGGAAAGGAAGTGAAGCAAGACCTCACAGTGACAAAAAGTGGAAATTTCCAAGTCAGAAACAAACTCATCACCTGTTAAGATAATCAAGGTGAGTGTCACTGCCCACTGTGTGTTCCAATCTCCCACTTGGCTTTTCTGAGTCTTTTTTTCATTATTTCAGTCCCTTATTATTTCAGTGACTTCTTCATCCCAACTCTTAAGACTTTAGCTTCAGCACCTAACCTGAACCAACCTATTTTCATTTTGTCTCAGTTAACTATATATTTATACTACTGTTATTTTGCATCTTTAAAAAAATCTGAAGTGGTTTGCTGTGATCAATTTGATAAAAATGAGGATTAATAATATCAGCATAAATATGAGGGTTAAAACACTAGAGAATGGAGCATTTAGGGACTGTATTTCAGCAAGGACTTATCACACAGCCAGGATGTAAATGACAGCACTTTGCCTGGTGGACAGCAGAGCCCAGAGGCTGAACTGAGATGGTCACCTGGGCTGGGTCCAGGCTCAGGGGAAGAGGGCAGTGACTGTATAACCCTTGCTGGGCACCAGGAGCCCAAGGAAGGAGGAGACATGGTGCAGTGACGGATTAGCTGTCTCACAAAAATGGAAGCCAGGGTAAGGGTAGGGTTGGAATGCACACTCAAAATCTTTAGGAAATAATACGTTTTAAAACAGCAATTGCTGATTTGAACTTCACCTTCCTAGATTTTGACAATACTCCCACTTTATGGCACATCAGATCTGACCCTCTTTTATCATCACACTCATCCTATCCATGCCTTCTCTATTACTCATATATAATTATTTTAGCTACAGTCTAGTTGATTCTCCAGCAAAAATTAGTTTATATGTAATTGACAAATGGAGGAATCTTGCCAGTATAATGCAAAACAGTCTTTATTCCCAGCATGCTGATGATCTGAAATGACCAGAGGTAGGAGTGCCTGCAAGTAAGAAAACATGTAACAGTCCTATAGAAATGCCTTCCTCTACTGCAAGAAGTGGTCACTTTCTGGCCTTAGTGACGTGCCTAGCTTTCTCATATTCAGATATTTTCAATATTC